TAAGGCCATAACAAATTATCGTGGTGGAACTTCAGAGCACAAGCTGTTGAGTTTTGGATCTTAAACCTTGTGTTGAAGACACTCTTAGAGAAGTGGTTTTAAAAGGAAAGCAGATATCTAATTTCTCTCACATTGGTTTTTATTTATTTACTGACACTTTTTCGTTTTTTCTTTTTTTTTTTAACACTGAATGCATTTACCAACAGCCACAGTTTGTGGTTAAGGTTTAATCTGTTCATGTTTATTATTATTATTATTATTATTTTTGTATTCAACTTTTGACAACTACAGTACTTTTCATTTAATTTCACATACAATAAAGGAAGGTCAAGGTTCTTTATTGTCATTCGCATCACATGTGGTACATGAGGTGGAACAAAATTGTGTACACAGAGTCCCAGTTACATCCAACAATAGCAAAAATATAAAGTGTAAAAATAAACAGTAAATAAGGAACTAAGATATAAACTAAGATATACGCTAAACACTAATAGTGCAAAACAATACACTGAAAACAAAAAAAAATACACCGAACAACAACAGCAGCACAAACATGAGTCTTTGTGGGTGGATGAGTACGAATGAATGAATACAGCAGCATGAAATAATCAGCAGCATGAGATCTGCAGCATGGATAATCAGCAGCACATAACAACAGCGATTATTTTTTTCCCCACAGTGATTAGGGCTTTATGAGTCTGAGATTCAGGGTAGAAGCTGTTCCTCAGTCTAGTGGTTCTACTTAATGCTCCACAACCTCCTTCCTGAGGGGAGCGTGGCAAAAAGTGTGTGTGCTGGGTGAGTGGGGTCCTTCATGATGCAGGCGGCCCTCTTCCTGCAACTGGAGGTGTAAATGTCTGTGATGGTGGGGACACTGACTCCCAACAGCCTTCTGTGCAGCTTTCACAACTCTCTGCAAAGCTTTTCTTTCTGGTAGATTCATCCTTTATCTTTACCTGCTTCTTCCTTTCTGGGTCAAGGGGGTCACTGTTTCCCATAACCAGAGGCGGGGGACACCTTGGACAGGTCTCCAGTCCATCACAGGGTTACATCGAGACAAATAACGATCAATCAGTGCAACATGCATGTTTTTGATCTGCGGGAGGAAACTGGAGTACCCAGAGAAAACCGACACATGTATGGGGAAAACAGAGAGAGCAAACACCACCCAGAAAGGTTTCTGGCTGGGATTTGACCCAGTGACCTTCTCATTTAGAGGCAGCAGCTCTACCAACTGAGCCACCGTGCCGCTCAATAGAGGAAAATGTCATCCTCAAATCTGTCAGAGCCTCACTTTAAGCTACGACCCACAGGGAGCCAGACCTGATCTGTTTCTTGCTTCTACACCAACAAAAACAGCTAAATTTAGTGCTCTCTGAAAAGATGTGGGGCACTTGTTTGATCCAGTGGCCTCTAAATGTGTCATTCCAACATAATGTAACAAAACGTATTGAAAATGTAGCTAGTTTCAAAGGACATTTTAATGTGAAACTTTAATGTGACAGCACTGATGATGAAAAGCAAAATGGAACTCTATACTGTTGATGAATACAGACATTTTATTTTGCATTTGTACTAAGTTACTCTTCAAATTCAAATAAAATTTCTTAACTTAAGCATGTATTTATCAAACTTATGATAAGCCAAAGTCCATATGAGCTACAAATTTTGGGGTATTGAAATGAAAAGTTTAGTTCTTTTCAAGTAAGGGTTTTGTAGAAAATTTATGAACAATAAATATCTTACCTGTTGTCAATGGAAGCTAGTTGTGCAATTTTAATTCCATCTAGAAAGCTATCCACAACAGATAATTATTGTTGTTGTTTTTTTTCTTTTCTCAAAACCTCTCTTCAGTTTACATTTCTTTTGGTTTGTTGGATCTACTGTTTTTTTATTTTTATTTTTTGTGCTTGGAAAGTACTTTACTAAAAGTACTAACCCTATTCTCAAAGACAAATGTGTAATTTTGTCAATTTTCTTTGAAAACAATTGCTAAAAAGGGATTGTTTGGCTAGGTGGTAGACACATGAAGGGAAACTTTAAATGATTTGCAGTTCAAGTCCCACCTTGGAAGAAGAAAAAATCTTCTGGACGCAAATAACCACAAACAGTTAAAGGGTGAGGCACTAACATATGTAGCTGGTCCTTGATAAAACTGATTTATTGAGGGTTTGGTTTGAAGGGAAACACCACCTACTTCACTGTGCCTTAATGAAGTCCTAGTTTCTCTATTATTAATTAAATCAGCAGATTCCCCCCCCCCCCCCTTTAAAAAAACAACAACTTGGTAATCAGATTTTATGAATGGTTACACGGAAGTCTGTTATTGTAAAAGTTGTGTGAAAATTTTTAATCAAAGAGAAAGAAAACTTTGATACTTAAATTGACCCTCCATCGATTATCTTTTTCCCGCTTCTTCCTTTCCAGGTCGCCGGGGTCACTAGTGCCGCATGTCCAGCCATCACTGTACGAGAGGCGGGGTACACCCTGGACAGGGTGCAAGTCCATCACAGGGACACTAAGAGACAAACAACCACTCACTCTCTCACTCACACCTATGGATAATTTAAAGTTACCAATCAGTGTAACGTGCATGTTTTGGGTCTGTGGGAGGAAACTGGAGTACCTGTAGAAAACCCACGCATTCACGGAGAGAACATGCAAACTCCACCCAGAAAGGCCCCTGGACCAGGATTTGAACCAGGGTAACCTGTTCGCTGAGAGGCAGCAGCTCTACCAGTTGTGCCACAGTGCTGGAATATATATTTTTAAAAATCACACTAAATATTTACTAAATGTGTCCATCTGTATCAACCTCAAGCTATATGATGCCATTCTTAAATTGTCATCACAAGCTATGCCAAATCACCATGAGGGTCACAAATGGCCCTTGAGCCTTTGGACACCCCTGCTTTAAATGCACTTTGTGTTGTTGTTTTTATTTAAAATACAAATGTAGGTGGTTTAGTATGATATAAATAGTGAAACAAGCTAGTGGAGAACTTTATTTTGTACAAAGGCAAGTCAAAAATCACATTCAGTCTTATATTTTAGCTAAATCACCCATGAAGCGAATACACATTAACTAAAAATAAAAATGCCTAAAATTCCAAAAGCCCACAAGGAAATGCCAAGACACTATAGTTTATCCTCAATATATCAATTTTCTTCTATAAACATCCAATAGATTAATAATTGATCTTGATTTGTCATGCAGGACAATCTTTATACTCAGTCAGTATAGACTCATAAAAGCTGTCTGACTTTGGACCCAAAGCCCACAGTCCCTGGTGAAGTATAAAAGAAAGGATTCATCCACTGCCCCCGGAAGTATCAAGTTGAAGCAGTCGCCCATAAATTAGAAACCCTGCTGTTTGGTTTGTTTCCTCGTGGGGGGGTGCCTCTCTCCTCCTCCCCCCAGTGGATCGCATCGCTCCCTGGGGTGTGTCTATGGAAGCGCCTGTCCTCTGCCGTCCGCGCACACGTATGTGTGTGTGAGGGAGTCTGCGCGCGCGCACGCCCCCGCCTCCTCCCTCTGCCTCCCATCCGCATCTGCTGCAGAGAGAGCTCACCCAGCACGCGTCTGTAGACCTGCGCGCTTGTTTTTCCTCTTCCTCAGCCCACCGGAATATTTCCCTTCTCTCTTTTTCTAATCTTTTTCTTTCTTTTTCTTTTTTTTTTTTTTAATGTATTCATTTATTTATTTGAATGGGATGGAATGGGTTGACGCGTGAGTCAGCGCCGCTCCTCCATCCGCGGAGTTCAGCCGCTTTTCTGTCACTTTTGGAGGATTGAGAGATGAACCCGAGGAGGAGAGCGCCGGATGGGATAGGAGCCCCGGAACGCGCATCCCTCACCGCAGACTGAACCCCCTCCCTCCTCCATCCTCTTCCTCTCTCTCTGTCTGCAGCCTCCGAGAGCAGCCGCCGCATCATTTTTCAGAGCAGCTGCCCCCCCCCCCCCCCCCAATTCACCCCATCCTCACATCCGTCACCCCTTCTGCTGCTCCGTGGGAATGCAGGGAACGGCAAAGGGATCGTAGCGGCATCTTTTCTTTTGCCCCCCCTACCCCCCTCCCACCACCAACCCCCTACCCCACCCCACCATCATCACAGTGACGGACAGCCCAGGAGCCTGTCATCAGCATCAGCGCAGAAACTGGACCTGGATCAGCTGGATTTAGCGAGAAGCATCCTCTCTGCCCCCCTCTCCCCCCCGCAATCAGATCTGTTTTGTTTCAGGTGCGTGGCTCTTGGATTACTGCCAGCCGCAGGGAGGAGAAGGGGGGTGGGGGGGACAGATGAAGCAAAGTTGGACCATCTTTAAAAAACATAGAGAAGTGCTGAAGGCGAGCCATCTTTCTTACTCTCGTCGTCTAAATGTGCATTTATGACACGCGAGACCGGCAGCGCAGGGGAGCAGCGTTTGGTTTGTATTTTAAGGACCTCACGCGGCCGATAATCAACCAACTGAGAGAGGAAAAGCCTGGGTTGTTGCACGCGCACATGGATTTACAGCTCCAGCCTGAACCTCACCACGCCACGGATCGATCCTGCGTTCATTTTTTCTTGCAACGCCTTTTAACAAGGGAGGCACCTTGGGATTTTTTTTTTTACTATCCCTGCCCGCCTTGTTTACCTGTCTGTAACCTGTTTGCTCATGGGAAGTGTGAGTTTTGTGGAGTGTTTATGTGAGTGAGTGGGGGTGAGAGAGAGAGAGTGTGTGTGTGTGTGGTTGGTTTCTTGTCCGCCAGAGGGAGTGTAGGTTATGTTGCTTGGGAATGCTTTTGAGTGTTGTAGCAGCTTTTAATTAGAAAGTGACTGGAGTGTCATGCATCTGCTTGTGATTTTTATATCTGTGCATGAGTAGGTTAAGTTTTGGTATATTTACTCAAAATGTGCAGTGTCACTACTTTGGCATCACACTTCCTTCCTTGCACACATCCCTGCATCATCTGGCCACCTGTTTGACCTCCCAAATCCTCAAAAACATTAAGAAAAGAAAGAAACAGCAAGATGTGTGAGCGCTCTGGTTCAAGTACTCTAGCACCCATGACCCTAGAGGAGCCAGGGGTGGAACAAGCATCTCCTCGAGCCCCGGGGCCTCTTCGATGTGGCCCGTGTGCTGTGTGGCCTCGCCAGCAGACCTGGCTCTGTGCTGTCCCCCTGGTCATGGGCTTTGTGGGACTAGGACTCAGTCTCATGCTGCTAAAATGGATTGTGGTGGGCTCTGTCCAAGACTATGTCCCTACTGATCTTGTGGACCCCAAAGGTAGCATTGGACAGGACCCAATTTTTCTCTCCAAACCCAGTGCCATGCCCAAGGGGCCTGACATTTCCACAGCCACCACTACATTAGCTGCACCCACAACGGTTATGGTGTCTACAACCACGCCGCTCGCAGCGGCTGGTACAGCTCCGGCGCCAAGAACTCGATCAAGTCCGCCAGCAAATCATTCAGCAAATGGCAGCAATGCCAGTGGAGACGGCAATCGTGCCCCACACCTGCACAATAGAGTTGGCACTCGAGTTAGCGGCACTGTGGTAACCACCTCTGCTACACGTGCCACCCGGCTCACTCCACCACCGAGCGTTAAAGAGGCCACCCCTCGCAGCACCATCAGAAAAGGAAGCAGCACTGCCAATGGACGTAATGGAGCTGCCAACTCAAAGCCAGGACAGACGTCTCCCACTATTAGCACCACAGCGTCCACCACAAGCACAGCCACTGCAAAGAGCACTCCTAAGGAGCAGCCAACAACCTCCCAGCCGGCTGCCCCGATGAAGCCCACTTCACGATGGAATCATGGGCGTCCGGGAAAGGGCCCAGCCACACGCCCACAACATCGCTTCAGAACACGTAAGTTCACTTTTTGAGTTAATGTTGTGCTTTGAGTGAGCACAGTTGTGTGAGGTTACATACAGAGCTGGTAATAAGTGTATCAGAAGAGCTCTTGGGCCTTTGTTGCTGCAAGAATGGTGTTTCACAGCAGCATTCAGCCACTGCCTGTACCTTTTTTATGCTTGGTTAAGAAATTCTTATTTTCTGACTGACTTGGTTATAGCTCACTCTGAGAATGTACCGTATATCCATATATATTTCCATTTTTATCTACAAGGAAAGTGGATACTCCAGTAGCTTATTATTAATCATATTCATTAGCACAGGCTGATATCAGGGGATATTCTCCGACTTTCACCCCTTTCATCTTTATCTTTCACTTGTGCATTAATCCGATATGAATCTTACCTCCAGAGGAGTTTTCTTTTTCTTTCATTTCTGCACAGTGGTTAAAGTACCATTGGAGGCAAGGCCCACATCTCACAGATTATATTTTGTTTTGTCTGTCAGATTTAAATGCCCTGTGGAGGTGATCAAGGACATCATGTTTAAGTTATAAAAACAAGCAGCAGTAGCTTGTGAGGTGAGGTGGAAGAAAGGTTAGCTCCCACCTCTTGTCTAGAGGAATCGGATGTAGCAAGGCCACATATCCTATTTAGCAGAGTGTCGCAGGTACTGCTTTACACTGCGGGGAGATATAGGGTGTGAGGTGGTGGGAGGCTCACGGGGAAAATGAAATGGTAACAGGGAAGAGAATAATGTATCAGAGGACAAGCAAAATTGAAATGGTAGAGAAACCCTTTGAAAAACAGCAAAGTAAAAGAGGATGGTGAATGAAAGACTCGGATGTGAGGAGCATAACAAAGCAGGAGAATGAGGAGTGGGAGCTGCAAGAAGAAGAGAAACAGCAGATGGAGAGGGCTAAGTAAGGGAAAGGCTTGAGGGAGAAGGAAGCCATAAAGCTGGGGAGCTGTGAATTTTGCATATTTTGTATTGTATAAAGGAAGAAGGCTTTGGGATTGTTAATTCCACAAGGAACGTGTTTTCAACACCCAGCAGAATTTCTTTGAGCTGTGGGTGGGTTTGGTTGGGAGTGTAGTGATGGTGAATATGACTGAGTTGAAGGGAGTTTTCTTTTGATTCACAAGTTGCATCTTTGCCCCACAGCTTTACGTACGTTGATTTAACATGGGGGTGAGTTAAATAGAGCTCTTTGATAAAACGGTTAGAGGTTACAGACTGGTCATTTGAGGTTGAAGTGATATTTGGCCATATAGTTATCAATAGTACTTTATGAGCTGTGACATTAGTCATGGTGCACAGGGTATGGTGAAAACAGTGGTGTAGTCTATGTAATATGCGGGCATATGGAGTATACCCACTAGAAAAGCCTGGGAATTTCAGTATACCACCTTAAAAGTGCCCATGAGCCCATGTCATGCATCATTGCCAATGAGACATGACATGGGCTCGTGTCATTGTCGACATATTTGGAAAATTTTATAGACACATTGAGTTGGTTCAATCTGTTTTTTGTATAATTCATATTTGTACATATGTCTACAAGTCTAGGACAAAGCAAATACTTGTAGACTTCAGTACTAACTACTTAATACCTGAACATGTTTTGCTTTATCAATTCTATAACATACAAAGGCAGCTGTTGTACAAAGTTGTGCATTTATTCAAATAAAAGCATTAGAGAAATTTTGAACTGTTCAATATGCTTAACATCCATCCATCTATCCATCCATCCATCCATCCATCCATCCATCCATCCATCCATCCATCCGCTTAACAATCTAAATAAATTGACGATTACATTGTACTAACCGGTGTACTTTGGTTTCTAAGCACAGTATACCCACTACAAAAATGTAGACTACACCACTGGGTGGAAAGGGTGAAAGTCTTCCTCCAGGCAAGATTAATGCCTGTCATGAAGAAAACCCACTTATTTATTGTATGTTTTAGTCTTTGGCTTGCCATTAGCTTAGCCTGGATGAAGACTTTTGCCTTTTTTTCATACTGTTTTATGACTGATGTCACGGCTGATACGGTACTCACTATAAATAACTATTTGACAGAGCATCCCTTCACTAATGACCAGATTATCCTTTTTAATATGAAAACTGAAATCATAGTTTTTCCATATTTCAGGTACAGGTTTCAGTTCACTACATCCTATGCTTCTTGTTTATCAGTTGTTTGTATCCGTGGTATCGATTGCACCAACACACTGTGATCAAGTGACAGATTCTTCATCATTTGGGGCGAAATATTTTCAGCTTAGTTGGCTCTTTAGGCCCACAGGCAGTCTTAGACTCCTCCTGCAAAATAATCTCCTGCTCCAGAGTCAATTATATCACTTGCCAAAGAGCTGCCAAACAGCTGAGAGCTGCCAAAGCGAGTGGCTCCCTTGTGCGAACATCAGGAAGCATCTGTTTGTACTGTATACTAGAAAAGGCCACAGCCCTCACACACTAAAGCATACATAGTGAAGCAGCTCTTTATTAATAAAAGCTTTCATATATAAAAGCAATTTTCTCTGTAGGCTTATGTTTCTGGCGTGTCTCGAGGCTGACACCACCAGCAGCGGGTTTATTTCATGCATTTTTGTGTAAATCAGAGTCAGTAGGTGAAACTTCAAAAGTACCAAACGCGTGTGTGAAGCTCCTTGAGTTTAATGCCAATGGGGGACTTTTTTCTTGTCATTAATTTAGATATATTTGTTTCTAAATTTAATATAAATGTTAATGTTACAATTATGATTATTTGAAGTGGATTTCTGTGCAAAAGCTATGAAGGATTCATGCCTTACTTGTTATAGAAAACTCTTTGAACAGCTACAAGTGGGGCTAAAAACAAAGTGGGTTGCTGCTGTTTTTAAAACGACAATTTATTTTATAGCAGTTCATGCGAACCCTATTTTGTTAGGTATGTACAGTTATTCAAATATAATTTAATTGGGGGTTTTTGCAACACAAATGATGGAAGCCACAGCTAGCTGTAGCACTTCTGGTGCAATCTGACACTTGTCAGAAGATAATCATATTTCTGTTAGAATACTATTTTAATGGGGGGAAATTATGGCACTATAAAAGCTGTTAAAATAAAATGCATATGAACTGCTGAAAAATCTTTGAATCTTTAGTTTTTATTTTTTTAAATCAACAACAAGCCTCTTTGGTCTTGGCCCCACTCAGACTGTTTCTTATCTTGTCCATCCAGTCAAGACTAATTAATTTTTCTCTAACCTGAGGCAGTTCAAAGAGCTATTCACAACAGGTGATTTATTAATTGTTCATAACCTTTCCAGAGAATCCAACTTCAAAAGATATGACTTGGTGCTCTAAGGAGATCAACTAAATATGATGAAAGCTTTAATAATCTTAAGTATTCTTACAGTTATTAGCACAAATAAAGATGATTTTAGTTGGGACTCACAGGACACGTCCAAACAAGACGTTTTATTTATGTATTTATTTATTTTACCAGAACACAAGGTATCTTATAAAATGTCCAAACTCTTGACTCTTTTATGAGTCACACAAAATTACTCCTTAAAGCAACAATGAAGCTTTTGATAAGCACATACAGTTTTTGCGTGGTCTCTTTATTCCAATAGATAATTCTACAATTTATGGCTGGGGATTCATCTATCCTCCTGACTACCAAGAAAAATAAATACTGTCCATGTCCAATATTTTATTATTCATATGGAAGACAACGGTACCAAAACCCATCCTTCCATATTTGCTATCATTGAAAAGCTCTAAATGTCCTCTGTAGAGAGCAAAAGGAATTAATTCAGTAGTATGCTGTGGGTGGGAGATATTCAGATTTACATATGTCCACCAAGGAGGACAAATATGAACTGCTGATAGTCAGGAGGCGATAAAACTTTTCTCTTTTTTTAATCAAAATGTTAGAAACCCTTGTATAATCAAGAATTTATAAGCCTCACTTTTAAATATGCCATTTTACAATTTACTAATGTCCCAGAAGACCAAGTCTTATGTAAGACATAATATTCCTCAGGGCCAGTGTTTGATGGGTACAATGTAAAATTCTTGAAACTTTTAAACTGTTGCTATTTTATTGTGTTGTTCCTGTGGCAGGGAATAAATTAAAATTCACTATAAAAGTTAGATCACAAAAAGTACTCTTTATTGCACCAACTCAACTAGGGATGCACAATATTATCGGCACGGTGTCGGTATCGGACGATATTAGTGATAAAGTTAAATTTCGGACATCGGCCATTCCATCAAAATAGCTTGCCGGTATAAAAGACGCTGTTTTTGTATGACAACCCAGTGACAAGGATGTCTGCAGTGCCAGCACGTTACGACGTCAGGCACACCATTGAGTTTGGGTTTGTGAAAATTTACAAATTTGCACTGTTCGAGTGTTGTCATTGTGTTAGAGAATAAATGTCATGAATAAATTTGACATTAAACATAATCCAAGTGTTACATCATTTTCAGCCCCCTTTTGGCATTTGCATTCGGTAGCAGGCAAATTTGATAAAGACCATGCAGAATAATGTAGTATTTTGATTCCACAGCAGAGAAAGCTATGTAGTCTCAGTAAGTACTGTAGGTCTAGGAAGAAAAAAAAATAATCGGCACTGGTATCGATTATCAACCAAATAAGTTTTAAGATATCGGCATATCAGATATCGACCAAAAATCCAATATTGTGCATCCCTAAACTCAACCCATTTGATGTTTATTTTTATTTGTCTAACAAATGGTATAAAAAAGATACTATAGACTTGTGCAATAGCATATTTTAAATGCTACTCAGAAAACGTCTCTCCTGATAATGAAATGCTCTGTAAAGCATGGCTTCAGGTGCGTTTGACTCGACCCATAGTGTCGTATTCTATTTTATGTCCTATGCTGAGGCATCTTCTCTGGTTTCAGGTAATCTGCACAACAAAAACACTAAGAGGTTATAAAATGGTTCTTTTTTTTTTTCTTCTTCTTTCTATTCACTGCTGCTGTATTTTT